TGAAACAGTGAGGCATTTGATAAGCTCGCAGAGGAGAGGTCCAAGGTGTGTATCTTCTTCTTTTACTGACCAATTAACTTCATTTTACACTCTGATGATGATGATCATAAGGCAAATAATCTCTTTTTTTTTTTTTTTGTGTGTGTTTCAGAATTTCAAAGAAGTTGCAGCTGAAATAGAGATTGCAAGAAAATTAGCTCCCCATGTTTTATATTCTGTTTCTGTCCATGTCCGAAATAATTACTTGATCCTTTTATTGTAGACCCGTCGTTATGTTGCTCCCTTTTGACTCTGATGAACTATGTTAGTGATATAATTATCGAATTCGGACACTGTAACAAGTAAAGAAACATAAATTGACCCAAAAAAAAAACATTCACTAACTGAAGATATTAAGGAAACTTTTTTTTCCCAATTTTTAGCATTAATCACGAAATTCGACGCAAGACTCTAAGTTCTCAGTATACAATGCAGTGCTAAGGTGAGCCTCTGGGACTTGCTGTAAAGGACTCTTAGATGGCTTTTCTTCTATAGGTCTTCAAGAACAAGCCGCAAGACCAAGTTTCCAAAAGTTTGAGTCTAGACAATCCATGCTTGAAATATCAACCGAAATCATCTTTTCCCATTTCACACTCGGATCTTCTTGTAGCAAACTCCAAACGTCCACATTCGGATATTGTACCACATCAGATAGACATAGACGGTCGTTTGGACTCCATAGATTCACACTTTCAGAATAATTGGTGTACCAACTTGGTAACAACACATAACGAAATTTTTCTGTGTGAAGATCCAAAGCCGCAAGCTTTCTATATGTCAACCAAAAAAGTGATCCGTTTGCAAAGATTGATGTTTTGCCTTTGTCAAGTTGATCGTTACGAATGGGACAACATATGCATCTTCGTTCTCCACTGTTGAGGTTAAATTAAAGACTTCGGTCTTCACAAAAATATTAGCATAAATATGGTCGAAGATATACATCAATATTAATTTGTGTATTCCTGTAACGATGTCTCTTCCAAACCCAACGGTTATTGGTAATTCACCTGACCAACCTAACAATAAAATACAAAAAAATGTTATGCAGATTTTGGTTATTTTAATATGTATGTAGTCTTTTAATGTATACATATACGTATGCATGTGAATTTACAAATCAAAGTAATTAATATGTAGTCTTTTAGTGTATACATATATGCATGTGAATTTATATATCAAAGGAATCAATTAGCACTTCAAAACCTATGAGTAAAAGAGTGTTGCGTACTTGGTCGGCCTGTACAATTCCGCAAAAAATCAGGAGAAATTTGTCCGGAGTTTTCTTGTCGAAGGGTTCATCAGATAAATGCATCCAAAGTGGTAGATGCAGACTAAGCCATTGCAATGCCCCATTATTCGACCAACATGATCTAAATAAAATTCGCTTTGCGGATATGGAAATTTGTAAGAACAAATATTGTTTTTGTTGTGGTGGTGATGTTCTTTTGAAATAGTCTCCAACAAAAGGGTTCTTGAACTCTCATCCATAGACGTTTCTGATCGAATAACAAGGAGTTTTGGATTTGGGAATCGAGCAAGACGTTTTTTGGCGAGATAGCTTGATTCGATCATCGATTTCCATTGTTTCAATACGGATTTGAATCTAATGAGGGATTTCACCGGAAGACGCTCGAGAATCTCTTCTTCTGGTATGTTCATCCATTACAACTTGGCAATTTTTTGGAGTTGTTATGTCTTTCTTCATTGTTTTCAACTATGAATCGCCTTGTATCTCTTAGCGTACATATAATTTATGTTGTGATTCTCTTCCTTTCTTGTTTGCC